CATCGACTTTCAGCTTTTTAATGTAATCAAACAATAATAAAAGGTTTTTGACACTCCCTATTTATTTTTTTATTTTTATTTTTTCAACAAAAAAAACCGACTTTTATTGTCAAAAATAAATAATATCAAAGCCAGTTCTATTTGCCTTATAAATTTGACTTTTGACTATTTTGTATTTAGATTACTTTTTTTCTTTTTACTCGTAATTAGATTACCTTTTTTTTTTTTTAATTATCCCTACTGTACTTACTGAATTTTAGTTTCTAAAGAACATTTTCTCCGTCCAAATTTTATGTGTTCATTCACTTCATTGAGATTTGATGATGACATCAAAGCAAGATATTGAAAACTGATTACCTTGGATGGACTAGAGGCCTAGAGTACTTTGTTTAATTGATTACAGAAGGCCCAATATTATTTGGGCCGTGTTTCTGCATCTGCCCAAGACAATAACCCAACCCATTAGCCTGTTTAATCATGTATTGGGCCTGAAAGTTCAGTTTGAAGGAAATCGAGTCCTGCCCACATTATCCATCTCAGCCATGAAAACATTTTATACTATCTTCGGTTTTTTTTTTTTTTTAATTGTCACGTATTTTATTCGGGAAGTTTTTTTTTGGTTGATGCTTATTTTTTTTGGAAAGTTTATTTTTAGTTGACCCCACTATAAACTTAATTAGATAAGCCAAGCACATGGTCTACTCACTTGCTTTAACATTTTCTCTCATTTCTTGAAAGTGTGTGCCTAAATTGAACGTGTTATCCAAAAAATGGATAAAATATTTTGTTCAATATTCCTTTTTTAGGGTGTATGTTTTGAAATACTAGTATGAAGTAATTATTTCATACCCTAAAAAATACGGAGTATTGTAAAGTGAGTTATGCTTTCACCCTGAAAAAGTTGTTGCCTCTAGCCCTAAAAAATGTACCCCCAAGAAATGAAAAAAAAAATAAAAATTCAGCATTAATAAATACAGTTGAAGTCTATAGTTATGAAAGGATTATAGTAAATCAATACATACAATACAATAGGTCAATAGGTACCTAATCCATAGATTTTAATTTTATTAGGTGGAAATAATTTTTTACAGTAATTATAATTCGAGTGCAAAATACTTAGTAAAATGAAAATAATACATTTTCTTTTACATTGACCACCATATATTGGAATAATTTAGTGAAGGAAATTATCAAATGCAAATTTAATAGATTCATTTTAGCGATTTAACATTAATGTAATAGGGGTCTATGTCTTAATGTGCTCATGAGAGAATGAGTTCATAAAAATGTTTTCTATCGAAACAAACAAAGCATTAATAGTATAGTAAAGAAAATCTAACTCAAATCAATCCTAATAAATTGCCACATCATCAAGACGACAATAACAAGAATGAAATTATAGCATTGGATCTAAGTACCTAATCCAAGAGGCCACGACCCACTTAGATTTATCAAGTGAAAATAAAATAAGAGCCAATTTATATCCGGTACCTCATATAAGTTCTAATTATTAAAGTCTTGTTATATTTAGAAGATAAGTATCATTACCATATGATGTCATGTGAGATATGAAACATTAGAAAATCCAATGAAACAAATCACATTCGTAATCACAAGAAAAGAAGAGGCCTAATATTTATCATAAAATAGGATCTCATTTAATAAAATATTAGTGTATTAAAATCAAACACTAATACGTATTTACGTAATTTCAAAAACTATAGCTACAACTTACAAGATCAATCTGTTTTTCTATCAAATCATCAAAAAATGAACTGAGTATTTGCTAAAATTTCTTCTTAGCTTGACCATGAGGAATTAAGAATTAGGAGTAGCTTTGTCTAATTAAAATAAGGAAAAATGTATGTGCATAACTGATTAAATATAAAAGGAAAAAAAAAAAAGGAATATTTAAGTTAAATCAAACATTAATTACATACATAAATACTGATAAAAAAAATAAAAATTACAACAAACAATACATGATTTTAAAAAATATATCGGATTGTTATTAGTTTATTACTCCGTACTATATATTATTAATAATCACCCTTCGAAATTTGGAATATGGATGAAACAAATTGCAAAAGTTTTAAGGAACATTAATCAACTACTCCTTACGTAAGCACATACGATAAGTATTATTTATCATGCTCATAGACTCGTAGAGTAGTATTGTATGCAATTCGATCTCTTCCCTAAGTAATGATTGCTGGTTAATTAATTGACTTAAATTATTTAATGGAAACTTCATTACTTCTCCCTTCTTTGCCTCATTAATAGAGTTGACCTATGTAGATTGATCTGTCACACTTTTCTAGCTACTATATATGTTTAGTTTGCCTTGTTCTTTTGACGTTCTTCTATTATTATTATACGAAGTATAATTGATCAACATTTTTTTTATTAGAGGGACTACAGAGCTTATATATAATTTAAATTTATCCACACCCGTATGGATGAAAAGCTGGTACAGTAGTACTCCCTATCTAAAATTGAAGTTTACATATTAAATAAATAAATAAATAAATAAAAGATGAAAATAAAGCGAATTCTTAATTTATTAAGATGAAAGGAATTGATAAAGAATGGATCAAATAAAAACTTAGCCTTTATTGTATTTTTGGTGCCTTTGCCATATAAATTAAAGAAAAACACTGTAAAAAAGAAGTTATTTACTTGTATAATATGATAATGACGAAACCAAAGAGAAATTTGAGTATTTAATTTCTTAATTTTTGTCATGCATGTTTAAGTAGGAAAAGATTTTTTATTTTTTTATCATTATTTTAATTCTTTAATCCTCATAGACTCATAGTAACAAAATGTGATGTGATGAAGCATAATAAGTGTCTATGAAGACTCGTTTGAAAATACTTAGTTATTATTTTAATTAATATTAATATAGAAATAATGGAAAACTAATTATGCATCCGTCGGACCGTCGCATATATTTGCATTGGTGGCATATGTTTCTTGTTCATCATAGCTTTCTTGTAGAGGGTAATATGATTTTGACCCCTTGCAATCGTAAGAGACAGAAATTGGTGGTGACAAAAGACCTAGATTGTATGATTGTCCATAGTTTACTAATTACAATTTGTTTTCATATTTAATAGGAAAATTTGAATTTTAGTACCTCAAAATTGGGGGTAATTGAATTTTAGTACCCATCTAATTTTTTTTTTTAAATTAGTACCTCCAAACTGACAAAAGTATAGGTTTCAGTACCTCCGTTACTATTCCGTCTGATTTGCCGTTTGTGGGCCCCAGCTACCAAACTTCCCTCCCTTTGTTCTTTCTCTCTCTTCGATTCTCATTCAATTCCCTCCATTTTACTCTCTTTGTCTCTCTTTGCCCTGTTCCTCCATAATCAAATGTTCAACCACATGCAATAACTCCATTGCCCAAATTCAACCACGTTTTCTTTCTCTCTCCACTGTCAATTGTTAGGCTGTAAATTTTTTTTTTTGTTTTCATTGTACCTCTGCAATTGACTCAAAGCACACATCAGCAAGCTTCTAGGAAAGGTCAATCTTGGAGTCGTCATCTCCATTGAAAGAAGTGGGACATTCTTCTGACAACGAACATGTATGATTTCCCCAACTTTTTGTATTGTCCATTAATGGTTTGTTGCGCAATTTTGATGAAATTTGTGGGTATTTTTGGAAAAAATTAATTAAACCCTAGATTACTGTGTTTGGATTAAAGTATCAATTTAATTGAAATTGATTTATAATTGAATGTTACAAATGCATGTGTTAGGGTATTTGTGTTGTTGCTTTATGGTAATTGGTGTAGGGTAATGCATGTTACAGTTGCTGTTATTGTTGTTTGTGATATAGAAAATTGGTTAATTAGATTGTTTATTCCTTAATTTGTAGAATCTCAAATGGATGGGCTTGATAACACTGTTGAGGAGGAGCAACACACTCTCAAAAAAGCTTGTACTTCATTATTTTTGAGGAGGAGCCCTAGGTGGCAACAGTCCAACCCATTAACAGAAACTTGTAGTGCAGTTAGTGAGCCATTAGTGAGGAGGAGTCCTAGGTTTTCCTCAGGAAGTGAATTGAGGGTGGGAAATGATAAAGGGAAAGGGAAGCTGAGTGAAGCTGCTAGGTTGGGAAAGAGGATAGCCAAATCAGAGGGGAAAGGGAAGGGTAAGGCACAAAGGAAGTTGTTCATTGATGATGAGGAGCCATTAGTGAGGAGGAGTCCTAGGTTTTCCTCAGGAAGTGAATTGAGGGTGGGAAATGATAAAGGGAAAGGGAAGCTGAGTGAAGCTGCTGGGTTGGGAAAGAGGATAGCCAAATCAGAGGGGAAAGGGAAGGGTAAGGCACAAAGGAAGTTGTTCATTGATGATGAGGAGAGTGATTCAGGTTCTTCTAGTGAGGACTTAAGTGACATAGACATAGATTGGAATCCAGGTGAGGAGGAAGAGGGTTATTCTGAAGATGAGGGATTGGGTGAGAGCACTGCTAACATCCTAGGTGAGGTGGAAAAGAGTTTGGCATTGGTTCATCCTGGGTGTTCAGGGCAGGGGAGTAAGCAGAAGTTGGATCAACTGGTGAAAGATCTAGGGCAGGGTGAAGTACAGCTTCATGAAGAAGACACTGATGATGATGAGCTGAGAAGTGAGCATGGTTCTGATGAGGACATAGATGACAGTCCTTGGTTTAGGGAGGATACAGATTTCAAGAAACCTGTTGTGTTGGTGAAAAATGAGAAGTTCACTAACATTTTGGTGCTTAGGAAAGCACTAAGAACTCATGCAATTGAAAATAGATATGAGTTCTATTTTCTACACAACAACAAAGAGAAGTTAACCACTTTCTGCAGGAAGAGATGTGGTTGTGAATGGGATTCAAAGAGGAGTAAGCTTCCTATTTGTAAGTGAAGTGAGGAGGTGCAAGTATAAAGTCATTGCAAGGCCTTTGTTCAAGAGTAGTGCTTGGCAAATCCAAGATCTGAAGTTGGAACACAATTGTATGAGGAGCAACATGAATGCCAATGTTACAGCAGAGTACTTGGCTGAGAGATATGTGGAAGAGTGGAGAAACAACCCTAGTTGGAAGATAAACAGCTTTAGGGATAGGGTTTTGAGTGACTTGGGCATTAAGATTGGGTACTACAAGGCATGGTTAGCCAGGGGTAGGGCTAAATTCATGATATATGGCTCTGCTTCTGAATAGTATGCCAGAGTTTGGGATTATGGGAAGGCAGTGCAGAAATATAGCCCAGGGACTGTAGTGAATGTGGTGGTTGATGGATTGGATAGGCCAGAGCCACCACTATTCTTGAGGATGTATGTGTGCCTTTCCCAACTGGTAAGGGGTTTCTTAAAAGGCTGTAGGCCTTTAATAGGGGTGGATGGATGCCATTTGAAGGGCTCCTACCCTGGTCAGATTCTGGTGGCAGTGGGAAAGGATGGAAACAATAGCATCTACCCCTTTGCATGGGCTACTGTAGAGGTGGAGAACAAAGAAACTTGGTGCTGGTTCTTGGAGTGTTTGAAGCAAAGTTTGGATGACTTGGCAATGGGAGGTGGCTTCACTTACATGTCAGATAGGCAGAAGGTTAGTGAACTATCAATTTAGTGACTTTTTGTGGCATTTATTTTGAATTGACTGTGTTTTATTTGTTTGCTCACATATAATTGTCATTTTTGTGTTTTTAGGGCCTTCTTGAGGCATTTGAGGAGGTGGTGCCCTTTGCTGAGAAGAGGTTTTGTGTGAGACACATATGGGCAAACTTCAAATTACAGTTCACAGGGTCCACATTCAAAGAGTTGTTTTGGAATGCTGCTAGAGCTACAGTATGGGTATGCTCTGTTCTTTGTTTGTTTATTAGTATGGCATTAGCTCATTTTTTGTGGTAAATCCAGATGTGATTAGTTTATAAGCATAACTTTGTGGTTAGTTTAGTTGTGAACAGTTTGTGACCATCTAGGTGGTCAGTTTTGGTAAACAAGTTTGTTGGCTTAATATGGGTATGCTGACTTTGTTTGATGGCTTAATATGAGTATGCTGACTATGTTTGCAAGCTTAATTTGGGTATGCTGATTTGTCTGTTATGTTCTTGCAGTATGTTAGCTAATATATGCCCTGTTCTATTTGTATGCTCAGTTTATGTGTTATTTGTTTGCTCAGTTTGTGAGGTCATTATGAATGCTCATTTTGTCATTAAAGTATGACTGGGCACTGTGTTTGCTCAGTTTGAATGCTGAGTTTGCCATTTTTTGTGGAAAATCCATATGTGATTAGTTTATAAGCATACTTATATGTATTTTCTTTGCACTTATTGTAGGCTGATTTTGAAATTGCAATGGAATCCATAAGGTTCCTTAGTGAGGATGCCTATGAATATCTTGACAACATCCCTGCCCAACATTGGTCTAGGCATGCCTTTTCAACTAATTGCAAATCTAATATGCTATTGAATAATATGTGTGAAACCTTCAATGCTTGCATTAGAGAAGCTAGGGACAAACCTATCCTAACCCAAATGGAATGGTTAAGGAGGTATGCAATGAAAAGACACAATGACAAGTGGGAGGGTGTGAAAAAAATTCAAGGAAAAGTCATGCCTTATGTGACTAAACTGTTTGAGAGAATGGAGAGGGTGGCTAGGCACTGCATAGTTCAGGTCTCTAGGGATGACACTTATGAGGTCAACCTCAATTCAGACCAAGTAACTGTTGACCTTCAAAATAGGACATGCACATGCTACCACTGGAAATTAACTGGCCTCCCTTGTGTGCATGGATTTGCTTGTATATTAGACAAGAGAAGTGATCCAGAAGAGTATGTGGACCACTATTATACAAGGGAGAGATATTTAGAGGCATATGACTTGCCAGTACAGCCTATGCCAGGTCCCAAACACTGGGAAAAGATTCAACTAAGGGAGCCACTGCCACCACCTGTGAGAGTTATGCCTGGCAGACCTAAATCCAAAAAGAGAAAGAAGGAAAAGGGAGAGGGTGTAGCAGATGCAGCTGAGGGTACTTCACAAAAAAGGCAGAAGAGATGCCAAAAATGTGCTCAATTTGGACACTATGCAAAAACTTGCTCCAATATGCCTGCAGAAGTGAAAGAGCCTTCTTCCAAGCCTAACTCTATGGGAAAACCTGCTGTAAACACACCATGGGTGGTAGAACAGAGGAGAATCAAAGCTGCAAGAGCTTTAAACAAGGTTATTTCTGAAATTTTTCTCATTTATGTGTCATTTAGTTTGTTTTTCTTTGTCTTAATTTAGTATACATCCCCTAATTTTTGCAGACTACTCCTGGAGCATCAGCAGGACCTAACAGCATTACCAATAAGAAGTTCCCACAAGAAGAGGCTAAGAAGAAGGCTGCTACTGCTGCAGCAAAAGCTTCCTCAACAGCTGCTGCAGCAGCAGCATCTCAAGGAGCAGGAGCTGCTGCATCTCAAGGACCAAAGGCATCCTCAAAAACTGCTGCAGCAAAAGCATCTCAAGGAGCATCAGCACCCTCACAAGCACCACCTTCTCAAAGGCCTAATACAAGGTCAAGGCAGAGTGCAGGAGCTGAGCCATACCTCTGCAGCCAAGCATCAACCACAACAACAGCAAAAAATACTACAGCAACAAGGCCAAGCAAGAAAAAAAATTAAGTGCAATTTCTTAAAATTGTTGAACCTATTTCTCTGACAGTATCCATTATGTATTCACTTTGATGAACTTATATATTTAGTAGTCACTTTTTGGACTTAGTCCCTTGTAAGTAGACATATTTATGTATATATGATATGACTCTATTTTATTAGATAAATGAAGCACATATATTTGAAGGCCAGTAGTTTTTTAAATTCATACATACATAAAGTGCAATATATAACTTAAGTTCAATACAAACCACAAATACAACTACAATTAAGAACCATACAAAATTAGTAGGAAAATTAGTATCACCATACTTAGACATAATACCCTGGAATTCATCACCCTCCCCTAAACAAGTTTTATGACTACACAAACTCCTAAAACCATAACAAGTACACAAAATACAACAACTACAGTCAACTGAAGCCTGTCACCACTACCATTGTTGCCTGTCATCTTCTTCCTATCACCAGACAAGGCCTTGCATTTAGTCTTCAATGTGTCAACTTCATTTAGCAAACACCTCCTTTAACCAACAAGATCATCAACCTCCCTTTGCAAAGAATTCATCTCAGACTTCATTAACTTCTTTCTAGAGTGAGGTTGTTGATTACCTCCCTTTGCCACTCAGTTTGCTCTAAGTCAATCCATTCAAAACATTTGCAACCCCTTGTCTCAGTGTTTGGATCCCAAAATTTACAAGCCTTGAACTTGCGCCCTGGATTCTCCCTCGTCCAAGATGTCAGCCTTGCTAGTGGCAACCCACAGTTACACTTCTTCAGTTTAGAGGGAGATTCAGTATTGCGGGACATTATGACTCCTGCAAACATCAAACAAAATAAAAATAGGGGCATTAGACAAAACACACTACAGCAACAACAACACCACTTAGACACACCATGCATCACACAAACCTTGTTAAACTGGTGGCTGAGCACCATTATAGGGATAGCCAGGGGGTGGCCAATTCCCATTCTGTTTCTGCCTAAACTCCCACATACAATCTGCCAAGAACCCAAGATCATCAGTGGTGCCCACATGAATGGTGTAGATGTCCTTATTACCAAGCCTCCTAATCATTTTGAACACATCCCCATCATCCTCTAAATCCCTATATTTCCCTTTATAAATGTACTGGAATCTGGGAAACAAAATATCTATAGATCCTTCTACTGGATCGTCCATTTCACGCAAACGGTCTTCCCACTCTAAGCATTTATCCATCAAGTTGTCTTTACCTATTTCTACTTCAATGTCAATCACTACACTCAAGAACTTATATCTGAAAACCACTCTATCCTCAGCCATTCTGCAAATAAAAATACACATATGCAACAAAAAACCCCAATTTTAGAAATATGACACACATGCAACATTAATTTCAATAACACCAAAAATCCCCAATTTAACCAAATTAAAGAACCCTAACTTTTCTACAGCATCAAAATACAAATTACATCAACATTATTCAAATAAACACACAATTGGCAGTACAAACTACAATGTCAATATCATATGAACCACAAATACAACACAATTCTACTCAAATCAACTTCAAATATAACAATTCGTATACAAAATTATGAACAAACTGACCTTTTTTTTTTTCAGCCAACCAAATCTTCAGCAAATGCGTGAACAATCCTCCCAACAGCTTCGCAATTAACAAGAACCCTAAGTCTAATTGAATTTTTATCCCACAAATTTTGATTCTTCACTATAAACAGCAGCAAAAATGGGCAAAAAACGAAGAAAATCGTGGTTTAAAAAAAGGGAAGTAACAAACTAGCCGTTGACATGGGGCCCACAAACGGCAAATCAGACGGAATAGTAACGGAGGTACTGAAACCTATACTTTTGTCAGTTTGGAGGTACTAATTTAAAAAAAAAATTAGATGGGTACTAAAATTCAATTACCCCCAATTTTGAGGTACTAAAATTCAAATTTTCCTATATATGCAATAATCAAAATTTTGTCATATTATCTTTAGATAGGTTTATAAAACTGATTGTTGAATCTCTTAGCTGTGACCTTGTGAAGATCCTCTATTGCGATTCATAGTCATCTAACTGAAATTCTTAGCGTCTTGTCGAGAAATATATGTCCATTTCTCTTTTTTTTTTTCATTTTTTTATTTTTTTTGAAAAAAAACTATATGTCCATTTCTTGATTGCCTTTTATATTTTTATCTCTTTTATATGGAATATATACGTATATGCATATCGTCATTATAAATCAAGTAAAAATCACTCTTTTATTCTACTACGTTGATTTCGGATAATTTGGTAAAATTTTTAAAAAGATAATCCCTTGAAAATAAAAATAAAAAAAAATATTTCTCTATCTCCTGCAGTTTCATTAACACATTGCGTTCATTACTTGTATTTTACTTCAATTCACATGTATTAAAATTAGGGCTGAGCAAAATTATCCGAAAAATCGAAAATCCGAACCGTAATCGAATCGAAAATTAGGGTATCCGTTCCGATAACCATAGTAGTTCGGGTACCCGATCCGATAATTTGTTATCAGGTACGGTTGTTGGGTATTATTTTAAAACCAACAGTTACCCGATCCAATCCGATAAGCAATTTTTTTTTTCCTACTTAAATCTATTTATCCAAAATCTAAATTCTTACTATACTTCATAATCACTTCATAGTTTAAATGATTAGTAATATTATTAGTAATTTGGTCATAATCATGTGGTATTATTGTTAATTGGTGTTGAATAATATCATAATAACTAAATTATAAAGTCTAACTTTTCCTTATTGGATATTATATTGGGTACCCGATAACCGATCCGAAAATCCGGGTACCCGAACTTATCGGTTTGGTTAATGGATATCATTTTTAGTGTTACTTGTTATCGGGTACCTGAACCGATAGTGTTAACGGTACGGGTACCCATGCTCACCCTAATTAAAATCATTGATTTTGTCTTGATTATATATACTTGTATATTTTTCAATATCATGCATAAATGAAGTACATAATATCCTAAATCCTAGGATTTTAATTTATAATCTCAAGAAATTGTGCACAAATTGAAAATCAATCCTTCTTTCAAGTATTTGCGCGCCCATACACGATTTGCCATGTTTAGTGTTTACAAGCATAATTTAACGAAATGACCATGAACTTTCCAAGCTTAGCTTCTTACAAAAAAAATTAATTTACCAAGTACGGAAGTACCGTGCATATTTCTATTCGTATCTAGGATCTAGCTTTAGTGTGCAATATATAGTACACATTTTGAATATTGATACACAATAATCTAAGATTAAGGTTCGATTGTTATG